TATATTGCCATTTATAACTTGGCGTGTGTAAATAAACTACATTAATTTAGCATGGCCTATATGATAGCAAATAAACCATATTTAAATTCAAATATTTAAAGGAGAAATTACAAGTAGATTTTTTTGGTACATATGATTTTATCTTAACTTTCATATAATCACATCCCAAATAAATAATTTAATATAATATTTTTTATCCACATTATCGGGATTTTAAGATACAATGGATTTTTTGAGATATAATCAATATAATATTTTATCTAATTAATTATTTATCTAATCAAATTTATCTCATGAACAAGCTTGTCATTCTTTTTTTAAATTAAAATAATAAGATTAATCTTACGATATATTACCTAAGTATTAAACATTTTAGAAACTTTTTAAAAATAAATTTAAATTATCACGCCTTTTACTTTTTTAAGTTCAAAATTATATTTTTAAATATATTAATAAAAAATTATTATTTATTTTTCCTTATGCGATATAATTTAAATTTGGTTCTTAGGTTATTAAATTCAAACATTTAAAGAAAAAGATCTTAAGCAGATTTTTTTGGTAAATTTTCCATTATCTTAACTTTCATATAATAACATTTGTAACAAACTAATTAATATTGTAATTTATCATCCACATAATCTAATTGGTTTTTAAGATATAATTAATATAATATTTAACGAATTAATCATTTATCTAATCAAAATTGTCGCTTTAAAAAACTTGCCAAAAATTTTGAAATTAAATGGTATGCTTTTTGAGGGGTGACGGCGGTTCAGATGGTGAGAGTTGGAGTAATTAAGAACTTAAATTTTTAATGATTTTGTTATGAATCAGTTTTATGGTTTGTGGTACTTTTGGTGCTTACAGGTTATCGTGTTTTATTATTTTGTTTTTGTTAATGTTGTTCTTCATAATCTAACAAATCGATATGTTTAGAGATTTCTGAGGGATGATGGAAATTGAGATTTTCTACTCAATTTCCAATATTACGTTGTCTGATTTGTTAATTTAATTATATTGTATTTTATTTTATAATAATTTTAATTTATTACTTTAGTTAGAAGGAATTTGATTATATAATAATTAAATATATGATGAGAATAGGATTTTCTATTAATCGTTTGATAAAAAAAATAACAAAGAGAAAAGGATGATATAGAATAATATTTAGATTTTCTCTTCTAATTTGATCAATAATTTGACTAATTGGTGACCATTGAATAAATTGGTATGAAATATACATTGAAATTGAGATATGAATGTGTTAAAAATAACTAGATGATTTTGATTTGTTAAAAATAAAAACATAGATTTAAAAGTTTGGATTCTTTCCATTATTTTTTGTACATTAACAATCACAGATTGGATAATTGATTTTAAAAAAAATCAAAACTGCAAGGTTTAATAATATTTCATAAATAAAGAATATTGTATAACGAGAAGTGTTTCATAATATATATTTGTAATTATTTTTATTTATTTATTTTCGTAATGAGATTAAATAATGAAAAGTATATAATTATATTTAAAATAAAGTCCTAAAAAAGACTTAAAATATGAGCTCCTCCGCATGGCAAACACTAATATATTATAACTCCGTTATTATTTTTTAAACTTAGCACCGTTTAAAAGAGATTGAAAATAGATGATAACGGTGTTAGATTTTTACTTAATCTACAAAGAGAGTCCCTCCCTGCCATGAATAAAAGAAAGGAAAGCCCGCTACAGCCTGCCAAGTATCATTGTCCAAAAGAGGCGGGAAAGATCAGAAACCCTAATTTATATTCTTACTTCTAACTTCTAACTTCTAACTGTAACGCAAACTCACTGCATTCGCGAAGTTTTGTTCAAAAATCAAATGGGAATAAAGGTATGCCTGTTTACCGATGATTCAGTTCTTCTGCTGTGTATATATGCATTTCGCCTAATCTACTGTAACGCAAATTCACTGCAGTTTTCTAAGAATGATGACGAATGAAATGGGAATAAATGGATGCCTTTTACACGATAATTTAACTTTTTTGTGTGTATATGTTTATTTCATTTGGTTTACTTAAAATTGTTGTCGTGCAATTCTTTTAAGGGTTTAACGAAGCTATTAGCTGATAATGCACCAAAGGCGATGAAAGAGCAGAAATTTGAGAGCTATTTTGGCCGTAAAATTGCCGTTGATGCCAGCATGAGCATATATCAGTTCCTTGTAAGTGCACGCCCGTGTCCGTGTGTAATCGCTCATTGAGTATCTTGTTTTCATTTTAGAACAAGAGTCAGCCATTGTTGGTATTTCAGAGAAATTTGTTTGAAAATACTTGTCTGAGTTAATACATGGTAAGTGGAGTTCATGTTCGTTATGGAGTGTGTTGATTTGGATATATGGTGTTTTCAATAATTTTGAAATGGTTTGAATTGCAAAGTCTTAGCCTACATTTCAAATTGAGTTGATTTTGATTTTATGGTGATTGATAATTGTAGATTGTTGTTGGAAGAAGTGGCACTGAAATGCTCACCAATGAATCTGGTGAAGTGACTAGGTATGTGGCTTCTACTCGCATCCTGGTTTCTATAACGAAGATCAGTATTAACTTACAAACACAAGCAATAATTGAAAATTTAAAACTTAGTTATTGTAGTTTTGCCATATCGAGAGGTAAAGACTACCCGCTCATCTATGTATTCAACCAGCCTATTTCAAAAATTTGTCTCTGCAATGTCTGTTATAGTTGCATCTAGCTGATATATTTTTTTTCTCAATGGGCCTTTTTTACGCCTTCACTGGGCTGATTTCATAGTATTCCTACGTAAGAAATGTACCAGAAAGCAAGTTTATTGATAACCCTTAGCGGATACAGAATCCTCTGTGAGGAGCGCATGATAAAGGCAATGAAAAGACTCGTGTTGTTACAGTGGGGACCACAGTCAATTATGGAAAGTGGACGGGAGCATTATGATAGTCGCATTCATGTGTTTAGCATTAGTTTCAAGAGTAAAATTTGGAGAGAAAGTAGTTTAATCAGATAAAGTTCCTATATGCTATATTAATCTTTGTTTTGATTGTTATTGTGCTCTATTTTTATCCATCTTCTTTTTACCCCCGTTTTTTGATTACTAATTTTAATGTTGTTTTCTCAGTCATTTGCAAGGAATGTTCACAAGGACAATCAGACTTTTGGAAGCTGGAATTAAACCAGTGTAATCTTATTTGTCTTACCTCTGAACATCTGATACTTGCATTATTTTTGAAAATCTTTGAGCTTGCCTATTTATTTTGGTCTTTTTTACGTTAGTTACGTTTTCGATGGGAAGCCTCCTGATCTGAAGAAACAAGAACTTGCAAAACGGTATTTAATGCTCCAACTCTACAAACATCATTCTCTACTTGGAGTTACTGATCTTTTATGGTTGATCAATATTGAGTATCTTTAATTTGCTCAATGTAGATATTCTAAAAGAGCCGATGCTACTGAAGACCTAAATGATGCTTTAGAGGTTAGTTTTTTTATTTTAGAGTCCTTCGGTGAATAAAGTTTTGTATCTATGTATCTTGTTAAAGTTTTGTATTGTGTTTCATGTCATTACAGACTGGAAACAAGGAGGATATTGAAAAATTCAGTAAAAGAACTGTAAAGGTGAGTTTGATGAGTTTTTATGGTTTTTTTAACCCTTCAGTTCTGCAGTTTTTCAGTTTAACTGTTGTAAATCTTAATTTGGCTCTTCTGTGTGTCGCATACATTGTTGGATGCAATCCTGAAATGGAGCATTCATATATTCATGACAATACATGAAATAAGTGATCTTAGTTTTATAGTAATTATAATAAAAGAAATAGGAAGTTCTCAATCATTTTCCTTTCAATTCGTAATAGTTTCTCATAAGGACACAAATAAATTTTTGGATTTGAAAATTAAGAAGTAGTTTCTTTTTGGAAGGGATAATAAGAATGATGTTGAGAAGTTTGGGATAAGTTCAAGCTAGTAATCCTTTTTAGTCCTGTATTGAGTATTCGTCAGTGCTGCATACACGAGAAGATACGAGTTTCTGTCTTGTAGATGAGAACAACTATGTCTTATTTGAAGTCAGTGGAGTTAAAGAATGCACTTGATGCTTGAAATTCATCAAATATGCCTTTCTACAATGCAAGGTTGCACCATGTAATATAAGTGGTTGTGGTTTTTCCCATTCAGTTTTTATGTCTTTTCTTCTCTTTCAGCTGCATTAATTTCTTAAACTAGAATGTGCTCATTTTGGAGCTTCTCGGACATTTACATTTTGGTTACACAGGTCACTAAGCAACATAATGAAGACTGCAAAAAGCTTCTTAGGCTTATGGGAGTACCAGTGATAGAGGTGGTGCTATGATATAAGTTCTTCTATGTTTTATCTGGTTTGAAATGGTTCATATATCTGCCCTTATCTTCCATCTTCTGGAACTTATTATATTCTTTTGGTTTAGAGAGTAAATTGGTCTGTTTGATAAATTTCTTATTGTCTTTCGTAGGCCCCTTCCGAAGCTGAAGCCCAATGTGCTGCCCTTTGTAAATCAGGCAAGGTATTGAAAATTTGTTGTGACAATCCACTACTTTTGATTTGCAGATATTGGACAAATCTCTTCGTCACCATTCATTTTATTATGACTTCACAGATAACTAAGACGAATCATTTATGTTAATCACTGGAAGCTATTATTGTCAAATAACTTCTTAAAGGAAAGTGTATGTATCTACTTTTCAAAAAATATATTTTGACATTTGATAGAGGAATTAATGCTATAGGTCCACATCATCCTTATCCTTACGTACGCATCTCTTACTCTACTTAAGAAGTGATACTCAGACAATGGGTTTTTGTGCATTAAATGATCTCGCACATAATAAGATTTAGAAAGTCCCTCTGAAGTTTGTTGTGTGCATTCAGGCTTATGCTGTCGCCTCTGAGGATATGGATTCCCTCACTTTTGGAGCTCCACGTTTTCTGCGTCATTTAATGGATCCTAGTTCCAAAAAGATCCCGGTGATGGAATTTGAAGTCTCAAAGGTACTAAGAAGTTATTTGGTCAAATCTAAGTGTTCTGTTGTTGACTCATTGGTATTCCATAGGTGCTGGAGGAATTGAACCTCACAATGGATCAATTTATAGACCTCTGCATTCTCTCTGGTTGTGATTATTGTGATAGCATACGAGGTAATATTTCTTTGTGTTAAAACTGTTGTGGGGTCTGATAATTTATTCTAAAATTCTAATTAATTGCAACTTATTTCACTGTTTTGGAAATTGTTTGTGGCTGTGTCTGGAAGGTACACTACGGATTCATATTTGATATAGGTATCACTTGAGTTGCACGAATGGGAGAATTATAGTATCAATGACATCACGTGAATGTATAAATTAGCAAAAAACTTAAAGTCAACCCATACTTAAAGCGGTTCAAACGCTTGTAGTATATTTATGCACTAAGATTCTCCAACCCCAGGTGAATGGCTAGAAATTACCGATTATTTCTTCTCTTTTTGTTTCGTTCCATTTCTTTACCATAAATATTTCAGAAACTAGACTTGTTCTATTCTTCTCAGTGAGTCTGCACTCAGATAGATGGCTTTCTCTTGGTTTTTTTCTGGAAGAGGCATCTCTCATTAGCTTGCTAGCTTAAAAGTAGAGCTAAAAGTTGGAAATATTTATCCATTTTCTTAAGGACTAGTTATCTTCACTGAAAGAGAGAGACAGCTTGAGTATATTCTCATTCTTCATTGTTTTGGACTAAAATGCAAAGTCATGAGTGCTCTCTGTACTAATCAACCCCGAATAAACCCGCTGTTGATTACTTTCCTTCTCTGTCTGTGCACTTAACTTGTAATCCTTTCCACAAGTTTTGTGATAAAACATTGTCAACTATAATCTATATTGAAGATGTTTCTAAAAAGTTATCCTTATGAGTTGGAACGTTCTTGTAGTATCAGGTCAAAGCTTAGTCATTTCACCTTAACTGCAGCCTGTGTGCTCCACTCCCAGAGTGAGTTCTTTAGCTCAGTCTCTGGACTTTTGAACAATGTTTGAGTAGTGACTATATTTACAGCTTCTTTCTTCCGTTTGTTATTAGTTACAAAAAATAATCTTACAAGAGTTTTTGGGGTTTACCAGTTGTGCTAATTAACATCATGAAGCCTAGCAACAATCTGCTTACGATTTAAGGATTTAAGAAGAACACAAATCTGAAATATAATTGAATTGAAAGGAGAAAAAATGTTAATGGGAAGTCTAACCCAAAGTGCAAGCATCGAATCAGAAAGAAAATCTCTGCCCATGCCCAAAGCAGCAACCTCAATTACACAAAAAGATGAACCTAGGTAGCAAACGATAGTTTACTTAAATAGAATCTAACCTTCAATATTTTAGCCTTATTTGTGTTACACTAACCATGGACCTCCCAGTATTAAATTTCTTAAGATCTGCTCTTTTACTTGATGCGTGGCAACCTCGGACGATGAAAATCAGCCTTCTCCTCGGGGTCGAAGAAGATTGCTTCAAAGAAGTCCAATTAAAGCACTGAATCAGGAAGAAACTTCCTGCTGAAGCCTAAAGCAGACAATCTCAATTCCACAATAGATAAACCTACTTAACAAACAATTTTATACTTTAATAGAATGATAACCCTAAATATAACCCTAATGGGTATTCTAACCCTACAGTCTGAAATTCCAACTAAATTCTCATATACTATTTGTTCCTAACTTGATGCATAACAGCTAAGGTATTTTTCATTGTCAATATCCAACAATAACTACGTAACACTTCAATAACGGTTGTGATAGTGTAGGCAATGGAATTAACTTGACTCTGTAAAATGAAACTACAATCCTTTTTGGTCTTCTCATGTTCACGTTCTTTTACTAAGAAAATATTAAATGATGTGCTCATTAATTTTGCATTAAGATCCTTGGTAATATATTGAATTAACTGAATGGTTGTGGGTCTGAGTTTGTTCGTCACATCATCCAAATAATTTGATCAGCTAAGTATGTTGTCCTGGTCTATATTATAATATTATGAAAGAAAAACTCTGATAATATTTAGTGACAATCGCATTTATGCTTTAACATATGGTGTCTTACTATCCCTACTCATATGTACAACCCTTGGCTGGCAGGGGTAAGAGTCTTCCGTGGGTGTTTGTTAAAAAAATTGTAAGCTTGTCATATTTCTCAGGTATTGGGGGGCTGACAGCTTTGAAGCTGATTCGCCAACATGGTTCGATCGAAAACATTCTGGAGAATATTAGCAAAGAAAGGTGCTCCGTAGTTTCATCAAATGCTGTAGTTTTGCAAAATCAGTTGATTCACATGGAGGATTTTGTAATTATGGTTTTACGACTTGGAAATTGTTTTATTATTAACTGATTCCTAGTTCTTTTCATTTCAAAAGGTATTAAGTTCAGTAGTCTATGCTGTAAATGCGTTTTGTATTCAACTTCTAAATTTTACTTGCCAAAGATTTTAAAATTCTTGTAATTTCAGAGGATGTTCAATAATTTGACAACTGTATTGGATAAAAGAGCCCTTTTAAAATACTACATGGGCATTATTTTATTTTATTTTTTTTTTCCTTATATATGCCATGGGTGTTATGTTTCCCTGTGGCTTCATTTAGATTTTAGAGCTAGGAAGATGCTTGCTAGCTTATAAAAAGTGTTGGGCTAGATTGTTGAAGTGGATGCTTCCAAATCAATCTTAAAGAGTCCTAGACTGGGTAAAAGCTATAAGAATATTATTTGTGCATTTATATGTACAGAATTGAGGGTCTTGCTTTATACAATGTTTACTATTTGTGTCTGTCTTTGTGGACTGCTGATTAGCTACAACATTTCCAGTATATACGAATGCATCAGTTTTGAAATCATTGAGGATCGAATTTACCTTTTGGGCTTGAAGGCCACGATTTCGTTGCTGTTTATGATATACATTTTATTGTCTGTAAACACTATTTAGAACACGATCGTCTTAAAAATCATTGAGGATTATTAGGGTTCTATGCTCTGATCTTATTTCCTCTCTATGGCCCTGAACTTGCATACATTGTGCCTTGCCATCTGCAACTTGACTAAATTGTTAGAAAAATGATTTTGGGAAAGAAGGTTGTGTGCTATATTAGCAGTTTATTTGCATGGACATAATACATGCTCCATGTAGGTATAAGACTTTTCTAACTGCTGTACATTTCCATTCTCTCTAGGTACCAAATACCAGACGACTGGCCGTACCAGGAGGCTCGAAGACTTTTCAAAGAACCATCTGTTTTCACTGATGATGATCAACTTGATCTCAAGTGGTCTCCTCCTGATGAAGAGGTGAAGTATCTTTTGCAAACATCTTTAGATTGTTTTTGGCATGTCACGAATTGACAATTTGGATGGTTTTCACTCATTGTTGACCACCTTTTTTCTTCTTTAGGGATTGATAACCTTTTTGGTCAATGAAAACGGGTTCAACAGTGACAGAATAACTAAGGCATGTCTACATCTACATTTTAGTTATGTTATAGTTAGTGATTTTCCCAGGACTCCCCCATATTCTTATAAAAATACGACATTTTGTCTCATCAAACTGTTTAGGCAATTGAAAAGATCAAGGCCGCCAAGAACAAATCATCCCAGGGCCGGTATGAAACTATTGATTGATTAATGATCTAAATCAGCTCTTGCCTTCATAATATTGCAACCTTTTCACTCTTTTTTTTTTTTTTTTTT